ACAAATACTTCTTAATTTTCATGAAGTCCAGTTTTTTTCTTTTGTTACCTGTGCCTTTGGTGTTAACTGTGAATGAAATTTTAAACGAGTTGACTCACGGTATATGCAGTATTGTTGTCAGTTTTCTTCTTTCAAAAACAAATCAAGATTTCTTTATCGTGTGGAAAAAAACAATGGGATAGAAAACTCAACACTATCACCTTCCTAAAGAAACACTACCACGTTGTAATAATTAATGAGAATTTATTTGCCTTTTGTCCAATGCAGTCACTACCACAGTCTCTGGGATCCTATAATAAATTTTTATACATTTATGAGAAAAATACAATAACATAGTTTACAAGCGATGACCTGTTTTATGTCACAAGCACTTCTTTTTTTTTTTTAATATAAATGTATAAAAGAAGTTGTGTGATAAAGGAGATCCTTCCATGGAAAAGTTCAGTCCAAACCAAATGACCTCAACATTTTAAAAAATTTTTCGCATAAATACTGATAGCAAGGCCGTCTGCCCAAAGTTCGTTGCACTCCGGGCCCATGACATCGTTTTACAAATCAGATAACATGGAAATAAGATGGACACATTCAGAGAAGACAGAATTCACTAGTGTTTTTGAGGCTGTGGCCTCGCAGTTTGCCTTTTGAACGATGAAATATTAATTGCACATTTTTAAAAATCACCAAGGTTATGCATCTCCCTGGAGTCTAGAAGGTCTTTCATATTTCTTAATTACCAAATCTGGGTTCTGCCGCTCGGCTTTCTCCCTGTTCCTGTTGCATCAAGGGTGCCCTTGCGGTTTCCTCTGAAAAGGAGGATACATTAACATACGAGGTTGGGGGGGTGTGGAAGAAGGGAAAGGTGTTAATTCAGATGTTATGAAACTGTGATAATGCTATTATTTAAGGCACTTATTTGGGTATGTTTATACTTTGTAGTTTTATAAATAAACCCAAGGGGCTCCTCCTGGTTGTCACAATCCTCCTTGAATCTCGTATCCTGTCTGTCTCTTCCTATCCGACAGTAGAATTGATGCCGCTCTAATCCCTGGAAGTTGGGAACTAATGAACTCACTGCTGAGCTGCCGCCACGGAGCTTGGTCCCAAACTATACTGTACTTCACACTCGATTTATTCTCCAGATGGCGAGACTGTGCCGCCCTGCCGCGAGGGACCACCTCTTCCACTGGAGTGTAAAAGTGGACGGATGTTGTTTTCTTTGCAGATTTGATCATTCGGAGCTAGAAACTTGCGAGGATGATTAGTTATTAGCTTTAATGGGTGCCAATTGAACCAACTGCACGCATATTTTCTCCTTTAATTTTGGAGTCTGCAGGTCTTGGCGATGGTTGATTTAGCCGCTTTCTTACGTCACCCGAGCGTGTCTCTTCCCCAGGTGATAAGAACCGGGTCTCTGAAATCAGAGCACGCCTTGGTTCCTGGCCCAGACAGAGGCACATAATACGGTGGCTTATGTATAAGGACAAGTTTATTAGCCACTGGTCCACTGCACTGAGCAGCCTGCGGCACGAAATATCGATTGGCTGCAGGAAGTTTGGTGACACCACTTTTTATTTAGAACAGGGACCAGTGATGATTCTGATTGGTGCCAACTTTCGTTGTGACCTCTGCAGAGTTCACCTCTGGAATCAGACATGCTGTAGAACACACTGTGATAATTAGTCTCTGCAAAGATCTAATGTAACTGTTGAGAAAGGCCTGAATTCCATTATTCTGTTTTTTCCAGGTTGTCGGATTTTAGTGGGACAAGTTCACCCTACATTAAGAAATGCTTACCAAGGCCGTTCTGTAAGACACCCCTTCCCCCCCGCCAAAAAAAGGTCTTTTTTGAGGGACCTCTTTTTGCTTTGATTTCCTCTTCCTTCTTTTGCCAGGGAACATTACCTCCCAATAATCTCAGCAGATCACTTATATAGCCCTTCGGAGAAGGGGGTGTCTGCCAGGCCGTGTCTTACTGATCCTCTGAATGAGACAGAAACTGGAAGGATACGGGGCGCCTGGGTTGCTCAGTCATTAAGCGTCTGCCTTCGGCTCAGGTCATGATCCCAGGGTCCTGGGATCGAGCCCCGTATCGGGCTCCCTGCTCGGCGGGAAGCCTGCTTCTCCCTCTCCCACTCCCCCTGCTTGTGTTCCTGCTCTCGCTGTGTGTCTCTCTCTCTGTCAAATAAATAAATAAAATCTTTAAAAAAAAAGAAATTGGAAGGATAGTTAGGGCCAAACAGAAGCCAAGGAAAAAGAGAGAGTGAAAATGTGAAGGGAGCAAGGTGATGCAAAGGAGAGAGCTGTGAGAAAGAGAGATTGGTATCAAGGAGAGAGGGAGGGAGAGAACAGAATGAACAGAATTTCTTTCTTTTCACAACTGGGCGGATGGTGGCTCTCTCTAGCTGAGCACCCAGAACTAAACTTAATTGTTTCTTAGAAACTGTCTTCCTCTCACCCAACAGATGGTATGGGTGTGTTTGCTAGCACAGTAACATATTTCACCATTAAACACCAAAAAGAAAAAAAGAAAAAATCAACATACTTGTTGGTTGGTGTAAATTTCAGTGAAGATGTCGGATATTTTGGGCTACATAGCAGAGGGATGCATGCTTAGTTTACGTAAATTGCAGCAAGCAACAGCCTGTTAATAAGGATATTGTGTGGCAATATACCTCCAAAGCCATCATCTTTTTTTTGGAAAGGTACAGAATGAGGAAATGGAAAGAGCTTGTTTTCATTCTGAGCCAAAAAAAAAAAAAAAGTCTTAACAAAATGCTGAGGAGTCACTGTTCATTATTATAACATGAAAAGTACTAATCAGATTATGCCTAAAATTGGAATTAGGTACTTCATTTGCAGCCAATTTCACAAGGGTTGAATTTTACTAAGTAAACCGGAATGTGCTGAAACCATGGTAATCTGACTTTAGTTAAAATCCCAAATGGGTTTAGAACACGAGCTTTGAACAAACAGTCCCTTTCTAAATGGAAACAACAAAACAGCTTAGAGGTCAGATTTTGTTCGACACCAACATGAACAATTTAGGAAGTTGACGTTGCCAGGGATTCTGCACCTTGGGCACACACACAGATTAAAATAGAGTGTAGATGATGATTCAAGTAATCCAAGTTTTAAAGTGCCTTTCAGGCTAAATGATCTAGTTCGTTCCTTTCCATTTTCCATTCACTCTGTCCCAGTAGACCCTTGACAAGCCCAACCTGCTACTGAAAGAAATCCTGGAAGTTGAAATATTTACAAGCTGGAGAGCAATCCTGAGTTTGTAGCTGTGCGGGCTACATGGAGCATAACACATTTTAGGTTCTCGGAGGCCATGGATCTAAATGCCCACACTGCCAAAGAGCTGAAGGCATTTCTCTCGACAGCTCTAGATGTCCTTGGAACCATGACACTGAGCTCACTTCCGCTCTTCACCTTCAGGGTTTTCCTAGTTAGTGAATGTAACAAGAAGGCATGGCAGAGCAAGCGGATGAGTTTTATAGCTGTGGAATAGCCAACGGCATGATGTGGAACCAAGCCACTGTTGGCCGCATCATCCTTCACTTTAGCTAGCGTGCGCACTCTCTTGCTTTTGTCTAAGCTTGGCCTAATTATCTGCAGTCAGAGCTCTGTAAATCAGGGCTCCACAGGGCTGTCTTAAACTGGTCTACGTATTCTGTTTCCATCTGACCTGACAACTCTAAGCCACTGTTTCCTCACACTGTTTAACTCAGACCACATTTGGAAGGCTTCCCTGCTCCCACTCGGTCGTAGACCTACATCCGTCTGCTTTAAATCTACTGTCCTGGCTTGTCTTGTTGATTAGACTTAGACCCAATATCGGCTCTCATAATTCTCTTTTTGTCTCCGCTTTGGTTTGCTATTTTCCCAGGTAAGTACTGCTGTTCAAATGGCTGTATATTGTTAAGACTTTTTTTTTAAACCACATTCGTCAGCAGTGAGAAGCTTTAAAGTTTTATTAGTATCATAAAAACCCTTCCCAAATGAAACTACTTTTGATAAGTGTTCATTCTGACAATGAGAATTTGTTGAGGGCTGTTGGCAAGTTGAAGGAATTTGTTTTTGAAACTGAAATTGGCAGGAAGTAATGACCCCAAGTGCTTTCTTTCTCTTGACGCCAACCCCCAGCCCCTCAATACGCTCCTTTCTCTCCCCACCCCCTTCCCCACCTTCAACACCCCAACTCAGAGCCAGTAAATAACATGTTTGGTTTCATACAGTTTTTCTAAGGACAATTCACATACTGAAGCAGGCTTTCAACCTTTCAGCTTTTCTTAACTGTGGAGCACAGACTGTCAAATCAAAGGGAAAAAAAAGTATTTGTTTTCCACTTCATGAAGGGATTTCTTCGTGGCATTATTGCCTTCCATCTGAATAAGTTGGAGCTTTTTTTGTACTGTGGAGTGTCATTTTCCTGTAAGCACCTTCTTAATTGAATGTCAAAATTCAACTCACTTGCAAAAAAAATTTTAAGTGACTAAAAAAACATGACGCATGTGGAAAGAGAAAAACAAATCCTTATTTTTTCCCTAATGTGAATATGCTGACAGATGAGACTACCATTATCCATGTGTTATGTAGTTCCTTATATTTATTAAATGAGAAAATGCAGGTAGAAGACCTAGAACCTTGCCTAGAGCTTAGTAAATGCTCAATAAACGTTACCTATTAGTTATTTTACCCTCGTAGTTGGAAAGCAATGCTAATGAGCGAGAGCACAGTACTATTTAAGAAGTGCACCAGTACGCATGATGGTGGTTGTCATCTCTGTTACAGTCATCTTGAGTGAAGTTTGGAAATCAATCTCTTGTCTGTCAGATTGGACAACTTATTTCAAATACCATTTATTTGCTGGACGGGAAATGTGTAGATACAGTCATGGTGCTCAGACTCTGAATCCACATAGCAGGTCCATGGTCAGTTGGATTGTTTGCTCTCGATGATAAATAAACTTAGGAGATACATTTTATTGACACTGATAGAATGAAGCTCGACTGAGAATAGTAAAAACGCTTGAAGACTTTGATCTGGGCCCAACCGAAAAGTGTGTGAGAGTCAACTCGGTGTCCAGCGGTCTGGCCGAAGAGGACCTGGAGACCCTCCTTCAGTCCCGGGTCCTTCCCTCTAGCCTGATGCTGCCCAAGGTGGAAAGTCCTGAAGAAATCCAGTGGGTGAGTAGCTAATGCTCTGCTTTAATTAAAGGCTCAGGAGCAGCTCTGAAGGAGTAGCAGAAGGGAAGGATTCGGGTGCTGCATATTTTGAAAATACATGCATGGAGCAGAGAGAAAGGGAGATAAAGGAAAGGAGGGAGCCCAAGAAACTGTTCCCTTCACACAAGGAGAGCCCTGGCTTTACCCAGAGTGTTCAGAGGAACAACTCTGCCCTCGGGATGATGAGTCCACTCCCCACTCAGACTTGCGGTTTGGCCAGAACAGCCTCCTCGGAAGCCTCACAGAGCAATCCTTGGTAACTGGCTTGCCCGGGAATTGGATCACTCCTCACGGCCCGCCAGGCCCTAACCTCCACCGGAAGAGCAGTGAAGTAAATGGCTCCCACCCAGGTTCATTTGCAGTCTTCATAGACAGGGAAGGCGCATTAGCCATGAATGAAAAAACGAACCTAGAGGAGGAGAGGGCAAGGTCACTCCTGAGGGCAACTAGAGGAAGAAACAGGAAGCTTTTAACTAGTGGTTTTAATTAGCACAGATATTATTTCCTGAACAGCTCTCTAGTCCGTCCTTTTTTAAATTGGTGACAGGTGTGTGTGTGTTTCATGACAGACTTTTCAGCCAATAAAAACCTGGCATGTCAAATTACTTAAGAAAACTTTGAAATGGGCCTAATTATACTATGATTGTTTTCATTGTTCAAGGAGGGGGAGGCTAGATTTTATTTAGGGGTTGCTATGATTTTGCAGATCTCTGCCGAATAAAATACCTGCCCATTGTGCCGCTCGGGGGCAGAGGGCCTGGGACACGGCTGTGGGCGCAGGTTTTTGATGCCACATCTGGGATTATCTCTAAGGCTGTGGCTGCAAATGCAGCAATACACCGAATAGTTGTACTACCAGAGGAAACTGCTCACCTTTTTCAGGCATGTAGATGCGTCGAATCTGTACTTTCCAGTGCTCTGGCCGCCCGCTCCATGTGGCTACTGAGCGCTTGAAATGTGGCAAGTCCAAATTGAGATGTGCTGTAAGTGTAAAATACACATGGGGTTTTGAAGACTTAGCAGCCCAGTCCCCCAAAAAGAATGTAAATTATCTCAGTTTTTATATTGATCACATGTTGAAATGATTAATATTTCAGGTCTATTGGGTTGAACAAGCATTATTCAAATGAAACTGACCTATTTCATTTTCCTTTTTTAATGTAGCTCCTAGAAAATTCAGAATTACATCTGGCTGCCATTATTTTTTCTGCTGGACAGCTCCGTGTTGGAGTCTTCTTGAAGACCCCATGTTCAAGGACCCATATTTACTTTCTAAACTGGAGTTCTTCTCTCCAAGGTCACCCCTCAGAAGCTGGGAGATACTGGTTACAGTAGGCTACAATCCCCGAGGCCTCCTACCCCATTCGAATGTGTCTTAAATTGATTGAAATGGAATCTGAAGCCACTGTTCCCTTTTGGTTTCATGTTAATGCCTGTTTATCACCGTTACTACCCTTCATTTAAGAGGGGAGGACCCACCCCAGCCTTGAGCTACAGCTTCTGTTCGCTCTTTTAAATCCTTGGATAGAAATAGGATTTCTAGTTAACAGAAGTCTTTTGGGCTGTTTATTTTTTTCCTCTCCGTTTGTATTTATGTGAAGCATAAAACCCAGAGCCTGATGCACAACTGAAAGATGGGCTTCCTTGTTTCCTTTTGTGTGAGAATCTCTTGCCGGCCTTTTGTCGCTAGTGTGGGTTCTTGTTTGACTGGCACGGCTTATTGGACTATAACAAGCGCGACTCTGCCTTCTTTGTCGTGGGACAATTCTCCCACAAATCCCGAACAGTGTGCATTCTTCCAACACACTATTGGGTGTGCACTGGAATTGAAAGAATTGCTGAGCCCTGCTACTTCATCTCCTCCCCAGTCTCTTTGTGATTTTTCCCCTTCTGGTCCTCCACCCCCTCCCCAGCCCCTCCACCTCACTGAAATGAACACTTTACCAGGCCGGAAACATTTAATCGTCTCCTTTTGAAAAAATTAATTGAAACTTCTCCACTAGTTACCTTTTGTGGCAGTACTTAATGCAATTTTTTAAGAAAGAAGGGGAGGAGGAGAAGGAGAATGGGCCAGAATATTTAATTTTTAAATGTCCCTGTTGGCTTAAAAACAGAAGGCATTAGAGATTTTTCTAAGAACAGGAAATATATTGTAAAGTACCTAACTAGTTTTAAACTTTATGATTCTTGTAGTTACAACTGTTATCACAAAGAATGGCGCAAGTAATGTTGCACTTTTTTTGGTGGGTTTTTTTTTTTTTTTAGTGAGGAAAAAAAAGTTCCTCCAGTGCAGATACAACACCAAAACCGCTAATCTTTCACTACCCATTTTCTAGCTTAAATGGGACATAAATTAGGTTTTACTTTCACTTTCCCGTAATATTATACATTTTGTCTCCCTACATTGTAGCCTTCTCTTCTTTCTTGCTATTTTGGTTGAGTTATTCCTTCCCTTGAAAAGTTACTAAGGAGGTGATGATGATGGTGTCTGAGGAAGGGAGGGGCAATGGGAGCAACTGGGAATAATTCTTCATTACTGAAAGCTGTGATTTATTTTAGCCTAATTGTAAAGTTACTGCAAATTGCTCAAAAGCTTTTTAAAGATCCCAGTGATTAGATTTTTTAGGGGGGGGGGTGCTGCACAAGCAAGGAGGGGGCAGCTAAAAGGGGAAATAACACCTCTAATCCTGCTTCTGGTAAATAGGCTGCCAGCTTTTAAAATGAGTTTCCTTTCTATTAGTCAGAATATTATGCTAAGCCTTAAGCATTAGTTTTTTTATGTTGCCATAGCAGCCCTATTCCTGCAGGGTGGTGACCTGCCATGATTACAGTACAAAGCTTATAGGGTCTTGAAACCCCCTTTGAAGATGAAAAGTCTTTGATGGTTTATATTTATGCAAATCTCTTAGATATGATTTACCCAACTGAGACTGAATGGAGAGATGATTAAAATTCCCTTTTCCTTTGATATCCATTAATGGCTGAATATTCCTTAAATTTAAAATGGATATATATGTTTTCATCTTTATTTACAAAAATAGCTTTATCATACCTGTGGTTTTTTTTTTTATCTCCCCACATCTTATTAGATCTAGATAGACATAATAGATTTACAATTTAGAGTGTGGTGGGTTTTTTTTTTTTTCCTTTTGAAAGGGGGGGTGGTGGAGATCTGTGCAAGAGCTTTTGTATGTTTCCAGATGATAGATTTTGGAATTTGGGCTACCCCACTGGCAGTGCAGAGCTAGCTGTGAACTGGTCTCATGGAAAAAATTGGCGAGCTTTGGTCTTCAAAGAATTAAACTTCCTTTTTAAGGTCTTCCTAGGTAAGCTAAAAAATTATGAAGAAAAACCTTCTGAACAAAGGATAATGGTGCTATAATGAATAATATGGGTTCCACGTAGAAGGCTGCTGAACAGTGCCACTGATGTCAGTGCCTGGTCCAAAACAAAAACAGAATGGCAGGTAGAGCAAGACTTCACTGTTTTGGGGGCCTACCATTTGCATTTAACGAAGTGAAGGCTAGAGGTCTTACGTAAATATGTTTTCAAGGAAAGCATTTAAACTCCAGAATCTCTCTTTCCACTTCTAATTCCTAGGCCTCAAATTGCTCCTTTAGGGGAAAAAAAAAATTATAATGCTTGGGGTTTTACTATTTAGTTTGGTGGGAACTTTGTTACCTATTTTCTTTGGTCTTTCCTCCTATTTTTGTTTTGTTTTCATTCTTTCTTGTGTACGAAATAGGCTGGGATATTACTTCCTCAGGCCAAAGACTTAAATACTACTTCTACGTCTACATTTCAGTGATTGTACATTTTTTCCCCTACTAATCACCTATGACACTTTTGATTTTAGTTTTCAGACAAATTTTCCTTCTACTTAAAAGGCCGAAAACTTGAACAACCTATGAATTTAATCCCTTTTGTGGAAACTGCAATGGGTTTGCTCAATTTTAAGGTAAGAGAACATAATGTGACTAATAAGTTAGTATTTTATTTATTACCTAAGGGAACTTTTGTTCTCAATTTTGACATCTACTTAAAAATATTTTTCTAGAAAGATTTATAGGCAAAGTAAACCTTGAGCACCATTTGTTCTCTATAATAATCCAAAGCCAGGCTGTGAGCATCTTAGAAAACAAAAGAAATTGGCTAAATAGCAAAGAAAAACTTCCCAATCCTAAATATTTAAGTGAAATATTTACATATTCCTATTTCAATTAAATAATCACATGTAAACATGTTTTGAATTATTATATTTGTAGATGAAATCTACATGAAAATTTATTTTGTTGCCCTTATGAATTAACTTTCAATTATTCTTTTGTAACAATTGCCTTTTATTGAAAAATTTGCTGGCCTCTTTTTAGCAACATTATCCATCATGTCTAGTATGTAAGACTGCTACTTGTAGGTTAGGATACATCAATAATTTGTAGTATATTATTTCAGTTTGCCACATTAGAACATAAAGTATTTCCTGATATGCATTCAGGAAGATTAGCTGAACCAAGTGTTTGCCAGCATTGTATGGTTACATGCAACAATTTGCCTTAACGATTTCATGGCTAGCTTGTTTTTTCCCCTTTATCACTGATCATTTAAACTGTTTTCCAAAATATGCCTCACATTTCACCTGACTCATGAACATCATTGTAGCACCCTGTCTCAGAAGGCAGGAGGGAAGAAATCCCTAAAAACAAAGAAAAGAGATAGTTGGAAACTGCCCAGAGAGATAATACGTGAGTAAGCGCTCCGAGAGGAAACTTTGAGACCTACTGGACCATGCAGGAGGGGCAGAGTGCATATGTTTGGGGAGCTGCTTCAAGCCTCATGATCAGCGCGTTTACCCCACTAACCACAAATTCTTCCAGCCTGCCCCACAATTCTGAGGTACAATCAAAGCATATCCCTTAGATGTGACTAGATTCATACGATGATTGAATTCTAAACTCCACTGCACCATTTTATTCCATATTGTAAGTCGAAGCATTTACAACCCCTGAAATTAATCAATGTCCTCTCCCGATTCTCAGGTCTTCCCCATCCACATACATTAGCATGCTGAATCTCCACCTTGGTAGATTCAGTTACATCTAGGACAAATGTTATTAATCTTTATTTTCACATCGAAATATGGAAGTTGCTAATGAATACATCTTGGATGACTTGTTGCATTTTTATTTGCCCCTCTGGAGTTGTAGATTTTTGTATTGTATGTCTTTAATCCTGAGACCATTTACTAAGAAATCCTGATCCTAATGCAAATAATCCAATTAATTTGATTTAAAAATTCTTTCCTTCTCTCCTGTGGTTTTATGTTTATTGTTTGAGAGTCTCTTAAAACAAAAACAAATTTTGGAAAAAGAGAAGTAATTTACAGTACGATCAAAATGAGTTAATTCAAAGTTTCTCTAGAAATTAGATGAACTATGATTCGAACATTATAACTATATTAATATAGATTTGTAACTATATTAATGTAATCCATTAAGCAAAGCAAATCTATACAACATATTTATCTTGGACAATATTAAAAGCCTTTCAAAAGGGGTAAATTTAGGCTGCATTTTTAGGACTGCCAGTTTGCTTTAAGCAAACTGTTAAGAGTTGGATCTTTCTGTTACTGAAATCCACCATGCTGCTCCTCTCTAAATTGCGCGTTTCTATGAGATTTGGTTCTGTTCTGCTCTTTTACAGGCCGTGTGTGAAGAAGCACTAAAGACCGGACCTCAAGTGGGTCTTTTTCTAGATGCAGTCATTTTTGGAGGAGAAGACTTTCGAGCCAGCATAGGTATCAAACAAATTTCTCCCTTTTTCAATCTCTGTGTGTGCATGTATCTATCTGTGTGTGTGTGTGTGTGTGTGTGTGTATTTTATCTTTGCCCCTTCCTGAATGGACATTTACATGACAATATATATTTGCCAACCATGACAATGGTTTTTCAGCTGAATGGACAATACTTTCTGATAATTTAGGGCACCTCAGAGCTGTCCTGCTTCCAGAACACTATATTATTACTTCTCTTCATTTATAAAATAATAAAAAGCCTGTTGCAACCTCAGATGTGTTTGGGAATATATGATACCTACTTTGTTCGTAGTGACTATAATATGTGAACAACCTCTCCGTTGCTTATGTTTTCACATCAGTCTGAGGGCTATCTAGGCTTCTAACACAAATTTAAGGCAATTTCACATTTGTTTTAATGAATCATTTTCTACATTAAATGTTGTATCCAAATATTATTTTAAACAGATCTTAAATTCCCCCTAAAATACATTTTAGAACTCTTCTTATTAAATATTTATTGAGATAGTATGCTTGTTTCCACTGATTTTCCCCATCCCTTGGGCACTCTGCCTCCGGTCTTAACTCGTAACTCTGGGCACACCTAGAAAAGAGGCCAAGGCCACAGAACATTTGCAGAACCACAGTCCCAGAGGCCTGAAGCCTGGAGCTCTCCCTGAGCAGTGTCACGGTCCAAATACAAACAGCAATACCCCCCACACACCCGCCTCTACGGGGAAAGAAAAGGAACTTATTTTAATACCAGTCTTTCCAAGAGACTTTTGTGTTTCCGACAGTTCAGTGGACACTTTCTGCCTCTTTCAAAATGAGTGCCCTTCCGTTTCCCCAAGTTCTTCACCCAAACCCTGAAGCTGCACTGTTTGGCTCAGAACCTTAGTTATGGAAGGGCATTGCATCCACAGCACGCGAATGTCTGTGCTCAGTGAGAGAAGTTAACCATTTCCTTGCACAGCTGCTCGGCCACCTTTTGTGGTGCTTTGAACTGATACTTTCCAAGCAATGGCAAGAAGGAAAAAATATACCAGAAGTTAATTTGTGACCTAGCAAATCCACACACAAGCAATGACACTGCAAGATGCCTTCCAAGATAAAGAGACACATATGAGATTTACTCTGCCTCCACATATCCCTCTCTTCGTTTATATTAGAATCATCATTTTGCTGGGGAGCAATTCCCAGGTCTTTACAAACCAAGTTTTTACAATAGGTGGCTGGGTTTGGTTTCCAGAGTTCATGTCTCCCTTTTCTATCCACATCCCATTGCAGGTGCAACAAGTAGTAAAGAAACCCAAGATATTCTGTATGCCCGACAGAAGATTATCGTTACAGCGAAGGCCTTTGGTCTGCAGGCCATAGATCTGGTGTACATCGACTTTCGAGATGGAGAGGGGCTCCTCAAGCAGTCAAGGGAAGGAGCTGCAATGGGATTTACCGGTATGATTCTTGATGGTATCTTAGAAAGCAGTAGCTAAATTAGCAAACATTCCAGAAAAGTAGAACTATAACCAGAAATTAGTGTTTCTAATGTAGCCACATATCTGCTATACTTATTCCACTATTTGAAATGTGAAAAAGCCATCGAGGGCAAGAACCTACGGAACAAACTGTTGTGTTTTCCTTTGGCTGGGCAACTTAAAACAATGAAGCCCTCATTTTATTTCCTCTTTACATTAGTTGCCATTTTTTTTTCCTGTCCTCCTAAGTATTTTGTTTTTGCTAACCCTAGAGGAGGGATGAGGCTATTATAGAAGTGTTTTTGAGTGAATTGCCAAAAGAATTTGGGTTGATGGGGAGAAGAAAAATGTCCTCATACATTCAAAATATTCATTCATTTCTGAAAAGAACTTCGGTGATATCTTCTTCTTTTTTTTTTACTCATAACTAGTTTTTTATTCTTCTCCCACTTCAAGCTCCTTATTTCTCTCCCACCTCCCAGTAAGTGTCTATGCACCTGGCGACACCTACGGGCTTTGGCTGGCACTAAGATCTGCAGGTCCCCCCGCAATCCAGTCCTGGAGCGCAGGCAGATATCTGTTGATTGGTGTGTCTGATCACTCAGATCCCCAGGAGTCCAGGTAGCAACCAAAAGTTGTGTTTTTGCAACAGAAATCCATTTTTTTCAAAACCACAATAGGATTCTACACACAAACACACGTCCGCAGTTGTGTGTACTCATACACTCATGTACACAACCATGGATAAGAAACACCATAAGCTCTTTTATTCTTATTTATTCTTCTGCTGCAAGTTCTAAGAATATCATGATCATAAATGAACTCAAATAATAAGGAAAAGGGACAAACATCCTTGCTATCCCTTTTGTAAACATTTTTGAAATGTGTCCAGTTAGGGATTACTGAAAGAAATATTTCATAAAGTGAACCTTAAATGTAAAACATATCTTAATGGACGGTGGTTTAACCCCAAATAAAATTAAACAAGTTAAGAAACAATTTTAGTGTTATATTAGACTTAAATAAAGTTCTAACATTTGTTTTTGTGTTTTTAACATGAAGAGTTAAAACAAAATGTGCTTCCCCAAATTTGTTTAATAAATAAATGTGATCTCTTATAGAGAAATATTTTCCAATCACCTGAACTATTAATAAATGAATCCTCCCTACATTTAGTAGTGACTAAGAACGAAAGAGTCCCTCTCTCCTGGCCCTGAGGTTGTCCTTGTTCCTGTGGCCTGTTACACCTGCCTCTTTCCAATGACCAGTTAGGACATAGCCCAAATGGAAAAGTTGGAGAGACACTCCATGAAATCTATCTAATAGACCTCGATGTTGTTGGTCTAAAATGTGTGGCATTGGCTGCCAAGCAGCCAGATGTTGCTGTGAAATGGGCACTAATTCAATAAAAAAAAATTGAAAACACTGAATTGATGCGGGCCTGTGTCACCATCACTCAGTATAACCTGGGTGTCCTCAGCTACCTCTGGGGTAAATGTTTGCTCCAGAACTTATAAAGGAGTTTGAGAATTTCTCCAAGAAACAGGGCTGAATTAAATTGGTCCCTAATTCAATCGCAGAAGACAAGTTACTTCAAATCAGATTTAAATTTCTAGACTGTGCCCAACTCAGCATGAGGAGCTTATGGGCTTGGCACTATTGTTTCTCAACAACAGGGAGTATTAAATCACACACACACAAAAATGGAAGCAGGGGGAGAATGGGGAGGCACAGGGGGTACAGTGCCCATTATATATGCAAGTGAGCAAGTCAGTAAAGTAGGGAGCTACACTTCATAACCATTTTACAATTTTTAGAAAGAAGGTCTTTGTAGTCCCAATTATATTGCTACATACCAGTAAAAGGTAATTAGTCTGATAATAAGATACGAGATTATTTGTAGTATTTTGAAACAATAAGGGCTTTGATTATTTTAGACCCAGTTGTCATCTGTTTGTCCTAATTATTTGTCATTTAATTGCCATAACTCGGGCTTTGCACAAGCAGGGAGGAAAGCAAGGAAGGAAGAAGAAATACACACCCTCTCTGAAGCAGGTGGTTGAAAAGTTTTAAATACCTAATGAAGGTATCGTGTTACCCCTAACACTGAGGAGCAACACTCAGTCTATGCTATAAGGATTTTCTCTACTTTTAAAAATTATACATTTTTTTAATGAGCTGTAGTTTTTTAAAAGTTAGCCATACATCTCTTCTGCAGTCATTATTTCATGGGGCCACAGTCCATGTGGATTGATTTTAAATCAATGCATTGGCCATATAAGTGGCTATTAACATTAGGAATTATTCTTATAAAAAGAAACCAAAATTAAATCTTGGAATAAAGCTTCAACAGCTGACTTGGTCATCACAGTTACTGCAGTCCTGCATGCTGAGAAGAAAGATGATAAATATGAAGCACTGTAGGTTTTCTTCTTTTTTGCAGTCTTTTGTAGAAGACAAAAATGACACCATCATACAGTCACCTAAAAGACTTGACAGGTATTGATTTAAAGCACGATATATCAAGTGGTACTGTAAAAAGGATTTCATGGTCATAAATTTTAATGTCTTCCAATTTTGCACCCTCAGTAACTTGCCAATAACAGCTCTTCTGTATAAAATATTTGCTTCACTCCCACATGGCATTGAAGTCTCATGTTCCATTGTTGGGGTATACAAGAATCAGCCACAGATAACTTCATGGTGGATGTTCATAAATTTCTAAAACTTAACACGTATCCTAAAATTAGCCTCACTACCAAAATACTGGTACTTGCAGGCCATCAGTGGTTTCCCAGTATTTCTAGATAGTTTATGTTTTGCTCCTCAAGTCATAGTGTCTGTACCAAGACGTTCCCGTGAAATCTGGCTTTTTACACATCTGTGTAAATTATGTACATAAATTATAAAATTCAGGTCTAACAATTAGTACAAAATGACTACCAGAACTGACACCCTTTATTAATAATATTGTAACAACTATTAGATGACTTAAATATAATTGCAATACCTACTATTGAAAAAAGCTCTCATTTGTCATCACGGGTATTATTTATTCGCTGAAATTATTCCTCAATTTTAGTATATGTGCTGCCGAAGTGAGCACGATTCCTCAAATAATTTAAAGCATCTTTAGTTGTACAGGGTTTTAATGTTTTATTAGTATGCTGACAGATTAGAATGAAATAATAGCAAGGTAAAGGTGTTCTAATTATGCTACTAGAAGAAAAGATATTGCTATATTTATTCACTTGAACTCTTTTCCATGGAATACTAAAAAATTTTTTTTACAAATATTGGTTTTTTTTTTCTATTCAATAATGACAGTAACAGGAATTATCTTTTTTAAAACATCAAGGGTATAAATTGTATTGGCTAAATGTTAAAACAACTATTTCAAAAGATGGATGAATATATTTAGGAGAGCAAATTATCATTAAGTGCACATTCATTTTTAAAGAACCAAATATGTCCATAATTTTATCATGTAATAAAATACAATCTCATTATTATAACATTAAATTATGTTGTATTTTATTAATGACCTGATTCAATTTTGCACTTCCCCAATTGCTAAATTGTTCCTTTTAATGACTGCATGATTTCGTAGAAGCCTGTGAGTGTTATGTTTGTGTAATGTTTTTCCTTAGGATCCTTAAACTCTGAAAAGAAGCAGAAAGCTTTTTTAAAGCTATTACTAAAGAGATTAACTTTCTTCTGGGTATCTAAATGTCTACATAAGAGGGAAATATTCAGTCTTCATTCTACAAGAAAAAAGGGAAAGCCTGGTTATGTTTATAATAGAGAAACTTTCAGTAACTTTTTTATTTAAACATTTTGAAATGGAGTAACCTAGAGACCACTGTGTTCAAATCTGCCTTCTATTCCACTGTACTGAATAAAATTTTTTCATCGAAATCCAGTTTTCTGATAGTGGTTAGAAATGACACGCTATATTTGTCTAAAAGAAAGAAAATTAAATATATTATATTATTGTAAGCCACTATTTGATATTAATATGGTTATAACGTCTGCATCTGCAAGCTTTATGAAAAACAACAGACCACTTCTAAAAGAAATCATGGCAGGTGGGATAATGGTACAAAATAAGCAAAAGACAACTTAAAAAATTTGAAAGAGTTAACATATAATTTTTTTGTACTTTAACTCAAAATAATCACTCTAATTTGCAGATATTATCCTTTAAAGTTCCAGCCAAAGGAACCTAGTCAACCCACCTGTAACTAAAAATGAGAGATTATCTGCACTAAGGTGGCATTTCTATAGGATCAGAAACACAATTACTCCCATTCTTCTGTGTTTCTTACGTGGTATTCTGGAAAAGCCTGCCAGATTGCAGTTACTTTCTTTTTAAAAAGTTCTAAAATAATTAGTTATTTTACATACAGACTGTGAAGCATTAGGAGCCTTTCGTGGTTGAGACATTTTGTTTGAACATCTGTTTGTTGTTTCGTGTTTCCGGTGTTATTAATCTTCTTGTAGGTAAGCAGGTGATACACCCTAACCAAATTGCCGTGGTGCAGGAAGAGTTTTCTCCTTCCCCTGAAAAAATTAAGTGGGCTGAAGAACTAATCGCTGCCTTTAAAGAACATCAACAATTAGGAAAGGTAAATGTTTTGTTAATGCCTTGGGTGAAACTGGTGTTTAAAATACTGTGGGGTAAAAATATAAATTAGATATCATTTGAGTCATTTCAAAAACTCATTGCGTTGTAAGGGGGGAGGTGGGAGGGGACAGCATTCATCAGGGAGAAATTCGCTTAAGGTAAATTTGCCTTTCCATGTTTCTGAATATTTCACTACCTGGCCCTCAAGTCTCTCTAGAGGTTATTCTTTTCATAAACTATATTGGCAAGCCTTTGAGAAAATAGAAATCTGTTTAGTTTTTCTCTATAGACTCCGATGCAGCATTCATATGAAAATAATTTTAGATCAAAGTGAGAGCAAGTTGTGATGAAATAAACACAGTTTGATCAAATGGTTCTTGTGGAGAGAGGAAATAAATTTTCAAGTTATTTTAATTTTGGGGCAAAAATGTACAAAAAGCTCCTCCGGTTTAATCATTTAAGAGTGGGAGGTTTTGTATGTGTTTGTACCAATTTCTGGACCTGAGATCTGGATAGAATGGAGAGCAAATTAACACTGGAGTACGGTTGTTCCTAATTTAGTGCATCATTGAGCCTCGCGTTTCCTGCTCTGTGGGTTTCTGCTATGTAAATATTGCAGTGGTGATGCGCAATCTGTCTCCACTTTGTGCCAGTAACACTTAAATTAGGTGTCGCCTGAAGGAAGATTTTATGCTAGTTGCAGCATTGTCAGTTAATTATCTTAAAGGTTATTTGCAGTAATACCGTTTGCCTCTTTGTAAGAGAATGGGGGGAAAGTTGCATTTATAAATCCATCCTAGAGGTACTATCTAAACTCAGCCTTGTTACCTACATAAGGAGTGAAGTTTTAGTACCTGCGATGGTATCACTTGCACTTTTCACCGGCAGTAAAAACACCTGAAAATCCCAGGACTTGGGAATGTGGGTAGCAGTATTAAGTGGGTCACTCCCTCCCTGTCATTACGGACACCTGCCTTCAGCTCCGACCTTGTATTCTTGCTCACCCTCACACACTCACAGGCTCATCTTTACACAAACTGGCACTTCAAAAGGCAAAATATGTGACGTTGGAAACCTCCCATTTGGACTTACACCAATTTCAGGATAAATAGCATTCTTTCATTTCAAATCAGGAGTGGCTATCAGAAAAACACTGCAGTTTATAGAAATATGTTTTGAAAATCACAGTTTTAATGTCCATTTCTATATCTTGACTCCAAAACCCAGCGCCTCCATGAATGCACATAAATATTTACAGAGACAGAGGGCCATGTACTTTTTCATTCATACGTGCAAAGAACTCCATCCAGGCCCCTGTCGCCCCTGTGCCCCTGCACACACTAAATGTTCTCTACCTCTCTGTGTGTGCCCTACGTCCACTGATAAATACTTCCTACTGAAATAATAAACTGAGGCAGAATATGGGCCATCAAAATGGCAGCCCAAGCAGAGTTCCAGTCTGGGCCAACACTGCCTCTGTTAACCGCCTACACTGGGTTTCACACTGAATAACATCAAAGGATGCCACTTAGCACTGTAAGCGGCCAGGTGCATGGAAGCCAGCTCCATACTAAATTTCAGGGAGCCAGCAAACAAAACTCAAACTAGAAACACACTCTTTTGCTGGCATTTTCAGTTCTTGAACAAAGGAAAAAATACTTTTCCATTGTATCTTAAAAGTGTTCCCGAACAAAACTGTCCCAAAGTGTCCTTGCCTTTTGATGATGGCAACTTAAATGTTAAATTCTGAACTGGCTTTTTTTTTTTTTTAATAAGAAATGCTGTTTTGTTGGGGCGTAAGCTTTCACAACAGTGTGGTAGGACAGCTTTTCTTAACACAGAACCACAGAAATTAGAGCAGAAGGGAGACTCACCATTAGGTCATTTCCTCCCTGCCCCATTGGCGTAGGTTTGTTTCCTACAGCAAATTCTCCTGGTGCTTTGTCCAGCAAGGTTTAAATGATTCAAGTAATGGGGCTTCCAGTGGGGACATATGGTTATTTTATCCAGTTCGCATGTTTCTTTCACTTTGCCTATAAATTGGCTGGTCACAAAAATTGGGTCTGCAGGTAGGTGACTCTGGGTCTTGAAGGGTCTTGGGGTTTAAATAATGTGTGTTCTGTTTGTAAAGATTTAGTATAAATAGGTTGCTCAATTGTATAAAGTATTGCTTCCAACAAACATCTAATCTGTTTTATTTCGAATGTGAATCGCTGATGAAAACATACACCCTCGGATACTTGGTCCAAAGCACAGGTGACTCTGTCAAGGATGGTAAACTGATAGTCTGTGTCCTAGTGAGACAGTTACAGATTTCCAAAAGACCTTTTTTCCCCTCTGATGAAAATTTCATTCAAGTAATGTTTTTAAGTAGAAATGACCCAAGAAGGCAAAATTATATATTTTGCTTTTCTCTACTTCTGCTCCCATCCTAAATTATATTCTGCCCTAAGACCAGAGGTATAGCTGAAGTTCGCAGGTAATGCTGGGTGCTTTGTGTTTTCTATAGTGATAATAATTAGTACTGTTGTATAGTAATAATAATAATAACAATATTGTAATAAAAATAATTATCAAAAATAAAAGTTGTACCCTTTTTTCTGTTCCTTCCAAATAATTAAATTTGTGGGAATACTTAGATTACAAAGTAGATAAATTATTGGAGAACTGTCTTTGGTGTCACAGAATTTTTTGTTGTTTCATTTTAATTAGAGGTTCTTAGGAAATAAAGTCTGATGCCCCTTAGTCTAATGTCAGGTGAGAAATACTTTACGTTAAGAAATAATAATCTGCTCATATAATCTGTCACTGTTTGGCAGATAGTGATGCTTGTGACTGCTTTGTTTCAGGAAACTATAGATATTTACAGGCAAAAGCATTTTTCCTGGCACAATAGTCCCCTCTAGTAAGAATTAGGCTATAGATTGACACTAGGGACTCAAAGTCATCTTCTCTTATTAAAATCTGTTGAAAAAGCTTAAACATTTCCCATACTCTATGCTCCTATTTTAATTCCCATAAGCTAAAATATGTCAAACTTAGCCGACATCCGTTGTGAGATATATACCCGCAATATTCATCAAACTTGAGTTTTTCTCCAGTCCTTCCAGAAAAATATATTTTGAGATACAACCTGTATGTCATTAGTAATTGTAGCTTCAAATTATTTGGTAGAAACTTTAGCCAGGATAAATCACTTCCCATGTGATTTATTTTAAACCTATAGAAGATTTTCTTAAAGGTTAATTTTATTTATCATCTTTTCCACAACAGTGGTAATGCCACTATTTGAAAATTCTCCATTCAGAACTGAATTTATTATTGCTTCTTAAAAATGGGATTTTTTACAGTTCTTTTTTTATCAACTTAAAATTGTGTAGAGTACGAAAATTGGGTAACTGAAATAAAAACATCTCAAGCAAATATTTAGTTAATATTACTATGTATATATCAATGGAAACTATAACTTACATATAAGTACATATAAATATTTATGCAATATATATACATTCATGTATTATGATACAGTATATTTTTTCAAGTCTCTATTACAAACTCAGTGCTCATTTTTGCTCTTTTTGTATTCATTTCTTCTTGGGCAAAAATGACAGCTAAAGGAAATGATTGATCGGTAATCCTAAGATATCTTAATATAAGAATTTAGCATTTCTTTCTGTGTGGAGACTCTAACGAAAAATGTGAAAGAATAGCAAAGTATATTCCTGTTTTCTGCAGTATCTGACTATAAATACAGCTTTGCTTCATTTTCAGTTTTAGTCATATCATTCTAATTTGGTTTTGGAATGATTTCGTTTAACTTTTTCAATATTTTTCATTTGTTAGAGCTTCACAAGCTAGCTAAAAACCAAGGAACGGGAAATGTTCATCTTTAAAATCTAGGTTCAATTAACAATTATAAAGGTCAAAAACAAGGTCACACCTTGACATAACAACTGTAAATATCCCTGAAACATTCTAATTTCACTCGTGAGAAAACCATAGAGCAAATTAATAAGTTGACATTAATAAGCAAATCCTCTACTGGAATATAAACTGGGAATTTATATCTTAATAAAGAAAGAGGAGCTTTTTTCCCTCATGTAAGTCTTTTCATCTAGGGAATTACAAAGAATAATAACCACCCCCCCCAAGTATTGAAAGCAAATTATTTTCATAGGTATCTGATTGCTGCTCATACACCTTTCATTTGTGTTTCCAAATGCAGGGCTTTACAAAAGAAATACTGTTTGGGCCAGATGGCCTTCTAGAAGGCTCCCTGAGAGAACTCAGAAGTCTCTCTAGCCAAAAATATTGTTTCCGCTTATTCAAGTGCCAGAAATCCCACTGCCACTCTTTCACGCAGATCAAATAAACCATCTAAAGATTTGGTTGTTGTCTTTGTCTGCTGAAAGGGTTGATTCCACTAATAGACAACAATGTACCCTCCCACACCCAAGCATCCCACCACCCACAGCCTTTCCCCCCTTTATTTGTAAGTAGGAATACTAAAATCAGAACCGAGCGATTTCTAGTGAAAATGAAAACTGAAGGGACACAACTCTACTTTTGAGATGCTCAGTTATTACATTTCCCCCTTTATTTCCTTGTTCACAATTATTTTTAGAACTATAGGCCATAATTTTGACTTTAAAAAGTCAAATTCGTTAAAAAGCTGAGAGTCTGCCAATGAGGACTTCAAGGTTGATCTGATTAGCAACAAATCTCAGATTTCTAAACATTTAAACTAAGGCAATACAATTCTAGTGCTGATACATCCTATTTCACATAGTTTTAGTGGCAAATGGTTCAGTATTAGAAGATAAGAAATTGTATACGTAGGTTAAATCTGATGTTTTCTAAAGTTGCTTCGTCCTTAATTTATAACACGCTCTTAGGGATATTTTAATCAAAGTATTTCTATTCTGATTTATATTCTCAGGATATTAGTTTGCTCAATTCCAATTAAAAATATAATTCTTTTAGTTGGATAAAATCTCAGAA